AATAAACTGTTACTTTAATTAGCTTATCTCTTAACTTACTTTGGTAACCTTATAGTTCTAGCTTCATCGCACTTTTCATTATAATCGTTCTTTCTCGCTTACGATCATCATCGATTTCTATTCGGAGGCCGGAAATCACCGAAGCGCGAGAAAAAATTATAAAAAAACGAACATGAAAGCGATTTCGCTGATTTCCGGCAAATTAAGCGCAACACTCGAGATATAAACGACGCTTTTTAATTAAACGTTGCAAGGACTAGGCGAAACAAGACCTATCTCACTCGTATTCTTATCCTCTTTATCTTCCCTTTTTTCTCCCTCTCTTTCATTCTTTTTCTCTTTCACGCATACTCTCACACTTTTGACTTATACCCCAGTTATTATATTATTATCATTCGCTTAGACATATACACGCGATTGAAAATTGTATTGCATCGAGATTCTTCGAGGTTATTAACGATAAATGTGCACAATAAATCGAAGCGTCTCTCCCTTCCTATCACGTTTCCTCTTTCGTCAAGACTTGTTGTCAATTGTTCATTTAACGATTAAACAGAAATTGGAGAATAGAAAAGGAGCGAGTTGAAATCACGTCGTACCGTTGTCGAGTCTTATCGGATGCAATGAACTTTGAAGCATTTTTTTCGTAGGAACATTTTATTTTCAATATTGTTATCATATTATTACCAGCAAAAAAACAAGAAAACTGTAATGAAAATTAGAAATGCCGATATCTGTAAATTGGACTTGTTATACTTGTATACTATTTGTACTTATGTTTTCATTGAAATATGAATAATTACTTTTTAATTTAATTTATACATCGTATTATTTCAATTTTTACTAAATTTTCAACCATGAGTTTTAATACCTTTTTTTAAAATTTTATCTCGAAATAGCATCCAATAAGGATTACAATAACGTCAGTACGGCGTTTCTTACAATATTTACATAAAAATCGTATTTCTTTTTTTGATATTTTCTTATCGTGGACACTTAATAGTCACGAGACAAAAAATATCAGGACCGCTTCTCTTTCGCTTTCTTTCACTCGGCCTCTCACTCTCGTCTCACTCTGCAGTCATCCTAGGATCACCTTGAGTGCCGTATAAATTGATGAGATTCGAAGGGAGGATTTCGATGATAATCGATAAATCAATGAATTTTTACAACGAACAGTCTGTAATGATAATGCGCGATTAAGCCTTGTATCTTCTCGAGTGATACTTTTGAAAAATTTCTTTAGGCATAAGGGACCATTTAGTAATTACGTATTAATTATTAATAATCAATAATTAATAATTTATAGATATTCTTCATTCACAAAAATGATTTTAAATCCAAGCGCGACATCGATTAATGGATAAAAGTCAAATAACAATGACTACTTCAACAGAGAATATTCAGTTAGAGCTTAGTGATTCTTTAATATGATTGATTCTTTTCTTTGCTGGATCTAAGTATAGGAACTAATAATATTAAGGAACATCACTAAGCGCTAACTTATTATTAGTTTTCTCTGGTAAACATAGCCAATGATCTCGCGGATAAATAAAATTGGACCTAAAGTTTAACGAGTGCTTATAATTCTACCGCTTATTATGCTTCTAATAATTTAGGCGCGATCTGTTGCGAAATACAATCGCATCCTCCTCCTCGTTTATTCCATCACCTAAACTCTTTTCACTGTTTCAATGTGGACGACAAAAATTCTACGACATCGATTGTATCGAAAGGATCTTTGTGGAGTGATCGGATAATATGTTACTATTATATATTATATTGTTATATTATGGTAGTAGAATCTAGTATGTCAACAAGAAATTCGATTTGATACTTTGTCTGTGTCTATCGCATTCTCCGTTCGTACATATGGTCATATATTCCTTGTGGTTTTTCATGAAACAGAAATTGTAAATTAAAATTATTATCGAATTAAATTTATTTCAAAGAATTGAAACATCGAAAGTGATTAGATTTGGTATTCACAATGTTAATCAAGATGGGTAAGAGTCGAGAATTTTAGAAAAATCGAATATTGTGTACAAATGAGATTATAAAAGTGAGATAAGTGTCTGGAGTTATATGATTTTGTTAAAAAATTCTACATTGGAAAAATAATGTTACCAATTTTTAAAAAATTGATTCATCAGACACACAGCACATTCATACTTCGATCACTCGTTCTGTGTTAACAATTATGTCAATTAACGATAATATTATTTTTTTTGCTTTGCTACATATGCTGTAACACGATGATATAGGCTTGATATGACAGTGGCACACGTTAATTAATTATTTCTTTTCATTTCTCTCTCTCCGTCGTCCTTCCTCTCCATCTCACCTTCGATCTCTCGACTCGATTGACGCGAAAGAGATATTTAACGGTCACATTATATATACCCTTCATCTAGAATTGAACTCTTGTAAACAAACACGAAAATTACAAGATTTAAAACGTTGAAGATAACAAAAAATAAATAACAACAACTATTATTTTTATGAAACTTAGAACTTCTCAACAATTTGTAATGTCATTAATAAAATTTTACTATCTCTTTAACATCTTTATATATAAATATGAACAATAAGAGAACGGGTTTTAAACTTTTATTGATTCCAGACAGAGAAAATATTTAGATGATCCGGGCAATTATCAATAACTATTAGATTGTCTACAGTCTTTGATTCTTGTGGAAAATTTGAACTTAATGTAAATATAATTCTTTCACTCTTTACACTTTACACTTTATTTTATTCATGCGGCTCTGGTGACATTTACTGAAATTATCTCATCTTTGCACGTGCATCTACATGAGATTGGAGGTCAGAAGTAAGAGAGGAAGCTGTTTTGTAGCCATTTATATATATTCTGATTACGGTCAAGTATCGCAATTTTTAGTCATTGAAAATAATAATTATTAAATAAAAAATATATTAAATTAAAAGATTAAAGTAATAATACAATAACAATATAATACAATATTTAAACATTCAGTTTTTATTAATTAAATATCATTGTCAATAAATAAAAAAGAAAAATAATAATGATTTTAATTACTAATTCCAAGAAATAATAATTTAGGTAAAAGACTGATTCCGAATTTTCAAATATACATTTTAAGCACGGATCACGATGCTTCGCTGCAATAAATATCCGCGTCACACAACACGCACTTTGATTCTAGTTTACAATTGTCCTAAACGTTTAGATATATTAAAGTCGAGTTAATAAGTCTTTTTCTAAGTGGTTCATAGACGTTTCGTCAAGATGCAAAGAGACATAGTTAAACGAATAAACGAATGGATAAATCAGCAACAATAGAAGTGCTGCTGTATCCGTGAAATTCACAGAGGAGCTAGCCTCAAGTATTAACGATAAAATTTTACACTTTCAACGTTTTGCAGTTAACCCACCGCAATGGCAGACGCGATGACATTAGCGGCGAGTGAGATCAAATGATCAAAGAACGTATCATCCGATAGGATGTTCCTTCATTGATCATTTTCTTTTTGTAATACGTTATGGTTCTCGCAAGAAGCCGATGTATATTATTCAAAATTGCAACGTACTCGCGTTGCATCACATGTCGCAGCATCTCATATCGTTCAGCTTGTCTCAAAAAATGACATTTCAAACTTTTTATAACATCTTATGCTATTTTTATTAAATTATGACATTTAAGTCATCAACTGATATAAAGAGAAAAAGGAGATCGCAATGAAATATCGCAAATGAGTATCACGTTTTATGAGGTACGTTTTATGACAACGTATTTCGAAGTTTAATATGCAACAAGAATCTCATTTTATTAATTTAATTTAAATATAATTTGTCACAGATTTCTATCAACGCTTTAAAAAAAAAAACATTTCCAAGTTTATATGTTATTTAAACTTAATAATCGAGATTTTAAAGCACATCGTCTCTTTCTTACAATATTTTATTACGATCTGTAAGCCCTCTCGTGCAATATACATATGCATAATGATCATACATTCTCCGATAGGACAGTCTCGAGTAAATGCGAATTTCGTTTAGCGAGATATGCATGTATACATAATAGATTCTATAGTAGTGTACCTTGAAAACAAACATAGATTTTTAAATAGAAGTTTCTAAGAAATTGTTTATACTTATACTTTCGGGACAATTGTGGGTGGGAAAAATAACGTAAATATTATGTACAAGAGATATTCTTTAGTGCCTCGGCTACATTCTTTTGACTTTCCACGATCTTCTACAAAATGCGTTCTAAAGAACGCGTTCGTGCACATCGTTTAGTACTTACAACGATGTATTTCTTCTATATATCCCCATCTTATATTCCCATCTTTATTATTAACGTGACGATTGCAGTGATTTAATACGATCCTCTGGTAATACATTCAGAAATATTTCTGATTTCTTAAATATTAATTTCCACAAATCACAGACATTGTTTCCAAAATTGACAGTTTCTCGAATAATTTTCGTTACATATTACAGATATTAAGTTACAGAAATTTTTAAAAATAAAGAAATAATTTAATAGTAAAGCTAATTTTTCTGATTACAAACGCAGCATGATGTAAATTCTTATGTTAAATTTTTTTTAATTCACTTATTTTTTTCTTTGCAGAACGAAGATGACAGGGATTATATAATTTATTCAAATTGTAATTTTATTTATAAAGTAATGTTGGTATATGTAAACTCAATTTAAGCTAAATTCTTCAAACAAATTAAATTATAAATAGTTATATGTAAATAAGTAGAAATTTTATTTATAAATATTAGATGTAGTAAAAAGAAATCCATTATTTTTGCATGAAATTGAATATATTCAAATTCTTCAAATTGTTAAAAAATCTAAGAAACAAAATTCCAGTCCATGCTAATCATTTCTTTTAATTCTCTGCTAATTTAATTATACCTAAAATTAAATATATTAAAGAAATAAATATAAAACATTGCTCTTCTAATCAATTGTCGATTTTTTAATAACCGTACGCTGCGGGCTGTAAGAAACTATATATAATAAACAACAATTCATATTTCGATACATCATTGCAATAATAACAAATTATCATATCTATAATTCAAATGTCGCTAATATTAAAAGGAGAAAAAGATGCCTGTATTGTCAGGATAAATTATCCGAAACCATCGTATGTCATTCATTGTTGTTATATTTCATCCATGGTAAAGTGAATGTATACTATCTATTTGGATTATCAGCGGGCTACAGAAGCCTCTGATTTCTTGATTTTGGAATTTTTCCAATCACTATATATTACATGGATGATAAAATGTTAATCGTTAATGGTGAGAGATGTCGAATAAATATCGAAGATGATGATGGTGATGAAGATAGATGCATGATGCGTGATGAGCGGCACAGGCAGAGGTGTTGGCTGTTGCTGCAGTTGATATTAGTAGTGTATTATAGAGTTTTTTTGCTGTTGTTTGTTTCGTTTTCTTTTTTGCTACTAGATGTTCTATGCACTGCCTCTACGTTCGCGAGTGTGTGTGCGTATGACAACATTGAGGTAACGAAGAAATCGATACTCCGAAATACCATAAATGGTACTCGAGTACTTATCTGGTATCCTGATGATGAATCTATGAGTGATCTTCAGCTTTCATATGGGACATCAGCGACGTCCTTGTTCTGTAAAACATCTTCTAAAAATTAATTATTTATTTTTATTGCATTAAAAAAATATTATTGGCAACTTACGAATATTTGCAACTTGTAGTAGCCAATGTCGGCGAGCTGTCATCATTTACAGCAATTGATTTCGGTGAATTGATCCTACTAAAGCGATCATCAAAAGAGTTATTATTATTATTATTATTATTATTATCGCTACTGTCCTCACTGTCATCAGATATCTTGAATATTTTTTGAAATAAGTGTGGTGTTGTTTCTCGCAAGTCTAACTTGATACTCTTCTCATCCTGGAAAATATCAATAACGATGATTCTATTTTTATTATTTTATA